CTCGTCCACGTCCTTGGGCTGAGTGTCGATGAAGCGTTCCACCAGGGAGATACCGCGGTAGACCTGCGGCTCGCTGGCGAGTGCCCACTCCCTCCCCCTCCTCGTCACCTCCTGGCGGCGCGCAGGAAGGGGGGAGGCCCGTCTAAGAGGGCGGGGGGGAGCTTCTATAGGCAGGCAGAGGGCAGGAACCTTGCTGGAAGGGCCCGGACGTTTCTGAGAAACCTTCTTTTGGAAGCCTGGAGGGCTTCTGAGAAACCATTTTTTCCCGAGAAGCCCACCCCAGCCTCAAAGGCCGCCCCCCTCGCCGCCACCCCCTTGTGCGCGCCGCCTCATTTCCCCACTCCTCCCCTCCTCTCCTACGGCACGACGCCGGCGCGGAGGATGCCCGCCGCCAAACTGGGAGACCACGGCTTCTGCTAGAACGCTTGCGCAAGGCGCTAGCCAAGCGCGTTTCACTACTCGCAGAGTCACGGCTCGCAAATGGCCTGGATCCGCCGGGGGGGATCTACGGTCCATGATACGAGGCAAACATGTGTTCGTCGGACGTTTGCGAGTAGGCACTTGGCGAGCAGTGGAAGGCGCTCGGTGAGAAGCACCGCGCTGACCTCTCACCTTCCAGCACACCGGTGCTCGGTGCCTGCTCTGCCGCCTGCGCACACCTCGTGGCGAAGACTCTCTACGCCCGAGGCCTTCCCTCGCGCTGCCTGCCCCTCCCGAGTCGCTCCGCGTGCTCTTCCCGCACACTCGACGAGGAAATCCACTCTGGGGTACAGTCGAGGCGTTGACCTAAGGAACCCTAAATAAGGAACGAGGCCCCTTATTCCCATAAGTCAAACTTCGCTTTCCCATGGCAAACCCAAAGTGAACTGCAAAAGAATCAAGGAACACCGAGCCCCTCCCCAACGGAAAGGGCTCCTTCTTCAGCGCCCCGACTGCAGATCAACTCTGCAGTCGACCCCCTCCGCGACCCTCCGCGGCCGCCCTCGTCTCTTCCTCTCGCCCGGCTTGCCCCGTGCCCGGCGCGGCCCGCCGGCTCTCCCGCCGCGTCGGCGCTCGCCCCTCGCCGCCAGAAGCCACACGGCGCCGCCAGAGGCACGCCTGCGCTCCGCTCCGTCGTGTCGACGCGCCCCGCATGTGCTCGGCCGGCCGCCGTTTGGACGCTGCGGATGGGGGGGACGAGCGGCGCGCACGCGCCGTGGAAGAGGAGGGGGGCCGCGTCCTGCTGGCATTCGCCTATTATAAGGCCCGGAGCGCTCGCATGACCGACCCGCCAGAGGCACGCCTGCGCTTCGTCGTGTCGACGCGCCCCGCACGTGCTCGACCCGCTGCCGTTCTGACGCTGCGGATGGGGGAGAAGTGCGGCGCGCACGCGCTGCGGATGACGAACGCACAACACACACACACACACACGCACACACACCCACACACGATCCCACAGAGGGGGTCGAAGGGAGGAGGACTGGCTGTGGGTCCAGGCGCGGGCTGTCGGACCCCGGGGGAGGCTCCCGTTCGAGCGGGGAGCCCCATCCGACAGCACGCACCCATGGCCTCCTCCGTTCCCCCCCTGTGGGTATGGGCGTGTGTTGTGTGCTCTCGCCGCCGCTGGGCCCCCCCACCGGCGCCGCCCCCCGCCGCCGCCTGGCCCCGCTGTGAGCGGGCCCGGCCTCCTCATCCCTCCCGCCGTCGCCGGGCGTTCCTCATCTTTCCCCCGTGCATTGCGGCTCAATTCGCATTGGTTCGTCCAACTTCTGCTCCTCCGCCAGCGCAGTCACTCTGCCTGGCCGCCGACGCAAAAAGTGTGTCGCTTGCTCGTCAGTGGAGGTGGAGGGGAGCTGCGTCCTGCTGGCGCTCGCCTGTAAGGCACGGAGCGCTAGCATGACCGACCCGTGGCGGAGCGGCCGTCGTCATACTGGTCTGCAGTCTGCACAAGAAATGGGTCCGCGAGCCACGAGATCAAAACAATGCACGCTCAAACGCACTAAGAGAGAGGAGGAGAGAGCGAGAGAGAGGGAGAGAGAGCAATTAGGAGCAAGAGAGAACGAGAGAGACGAATAGAGAGAGGGAGACAGAGAGAGAAAGACATAAAGAGACAGTGACAGAGACAGAGACAGAGACAGAGACAAAGACAGAGACAGACAAAGAGAGAGAGAGAGACTAAGGAAACGTTGCAAAACTGCAAGGACTAGAAGAGGCCTCCTCCTCATCCTCCTTATGCCATCAGCCTCCTCCACGTCCTCCTCATCCTCCTCTTCTGCCATCCCCTCGCAAGGCCGACCCGTGTCGGGTTGATCTTGCACCGGCCGTCGCCCACGGTCTTCATCAACATGCGGGAGACTGTGTACTGTGGGTGGCGTTTGCGGTCACAGACGCGGCAAGCTCAGGGAAGAAGCGAGACGACGGCCATGAAGAGGAAAACTTGGATAAGGCGGGAGGAAGCGGAAGGAGGGAGGAGGAAGAAGGCTGCCAAAGCCAAGCCACCACGGGCCGACCCAAATGCGCTCAAAACCATACACCAAATACCTCCCGGAAGCCATCCTGGCCAATTTTCCAGACCACGTCCAGCCGTGGCGATAAGAACCTGCAGAGCGCACTCCAAAAAAACTCCAAGAAAATAGCGTCCACGAGAAACGCTCGGAAAGAAGTGGCCAGACCACCACGTCGGCGACAGGCATGCGTGACCCTGGGTAGGAGGAGGAGGAGGAGGAGGAAGAGGAGGAGGAGGGGGGGGAGGAGGAGGGGGAGGGGGAGGAGGAGGAGGAGGAGGAGGAGGGAGGAGGAGGAGGGAGGAGGAGGAGGGAGGAGGAGGAAGGAGGAGGAGGAGGAGGAGGAGAGGAGGAGGAGGAGGAGGAGGAGGAGGAGGAGGGAGGGAGGAGGAGGAGGAGGAGGAGGAGGAGGAGGAGGAGGAGGAGAGGAGGAGGAGGAGGAGGAGGAGGAGGAGGAGGAGGGGCCTCCGGTGCGCGGCTTGCCCATCGCTGCGTGCGACGCGACAGCAGCGGCTGCGCGCTCGGGTCTGCCCCCCCCGCCCACCACGCGCCCCACGGATTCTGCGCTCCAGAGATCGATCGGGCGACAGGTCCTCGTCGTTGTTGTCGTCGTCGTCTTCGTCGTCGTCGTCGTTGTCCTCGTCGTCTTCCTCCTCCTCCTCCTCCTCCTCCTCGTCGTCGTCGTCGTCGACGTCATCGTCGTCGTCGTCATTGTCCTCGTCGTCTTCCTCCTCCTCGTCGTCGTCGTCATCGTCGTCATCGTCATCGTCGTCGTCGACGTCATCGTCGTCGTCGTTGTCCTCGTCGTCCTCGTCGTCAACGTCGTCGTCGTGGTCGTAGCCGATCATGGGCTGGACCCCATAGACGCCCACGTCGAGAGCACAGCCGAAAACCCACCGAACCGACAGCGCAACTGAAGCCGACCTAAGCCGACGGACCGCAGCCGCGCAGCGACCGACCGAACCGAACAGACCGAACACCGTCGAGTGCGAAGCAACTAGAGGCCGCCCAAATCGGGTCCGATTAGATGGGGTCGGAGGAACGCGCCGCATCGCCGATGCATCCGCGACGTCGGTGTTTCATCACCGCCGTCGGCGTGGCGATCCGCATCGAGACGCATCGCCATTGCATCGGCGATGCGGCAAGATACTCCCACCCCCACCCCATCTACTTGGACCCCATCTGGGAGGCCTAGAACAACCGAGCCAACCGACGCACTCGTTGTCCTCCTCCTCCCCTCCTCCCTTCTTGGCCGGCGCTCCGCAAAGCGTTTATCACTGGCACGCAGATGGCGCAGGTGGCCTGTGCCTCGGTGTCGCCACCCGCCTCAAAGACCAATGGCCAACACATTTGGACTCTCATGGCAGGTACGGAAAAACAGGGTTCGATATCCAACAACCAATCAGAAACCAACAACAACAGCTATAAAATAAAAAGCCTTCTGCCTCAAATGGACAACGTCCGCTGCGACACCGACAGCGAGCCCTGCTCAAAATGAACAGGAAATGGAAATGATGTCGTCTCTGTTGAGGGGCAACGATAAATCGGGAAATTGGCAAAGGGGGGAAACATCGACCTGGAATCGGCGATACATCGCCGATTGATCGGCGATAGGCCCACGATAGCGAATCCACATGTCCCTGGGCGGGGTAGCGGCTATCGGGCCCCTATCGGCGATCCATGGGCGATCGGGGGTCGATGCATATCCCTGCCTATCCCCCCCTATCGTTGCCCCTGATTTGTACAAAGTTTTCCGTACCCAGTTTGATCTTCCCGACCACAGGCCGGCCCCCTCTGGAGATACCCGACGGCCCAAGACTGGCCGAAGACCCCCCAGGGGGCGGGCGCGGGCGTAGGCCCGTCCTGGAGGCGCCCCTAGCCCTGACGAGCTGGGCGGCTTCCGCAGGGAGGGCGCCTGCCAGGAGGGCGGCCTCTCACGTGCTCCAGTTCGGCGGCGAGCGAGGTGGGGAAGCGAGAAGGAGAAGGCCTTCTCAGACGGCGACGGGGCTTCTCAGAGGCCCTCGCGCCTGCTGAGAAGTCTCCTGCGACTTCGGGGAAGGCTCGGGAGACTTCTCAGAAGGCCAGGGGACGTCCGAGCGAGCCTGCTGAGAAGGCCCACCCCTTCTCACTTCCCCCCCAGGCTCGCCGCCGACAGGTGGCAGTGGCTGTGGTCTGCAGGCTGCCGACCCCGCTTTTGGCAGGTGGATCTCCCAAGCTCTCCGCCGCCTCTGGCGGTGTGCGTTGCGAGCGGGAACACAGCAAAGCCACAGGAAAGCGCGGCATTGACAATGTAGCTCTGCACACGTGACAAATGCTGACGGGAAGGAGCACAGCAAAGGCCCAGGAGAGCGAGACATTGACAGTGTAGCTCAACATTGACAGTGTAACTCCACCCGAACGGAGCAGAGCCTGCAGAGAGAGGGCCAGAGGAGCCCTCGGCTGCTCGAGGCACGGCCGCCCCTTGCCCCGTCGGCCAGGGCGCTGGACGAGAGCCTCGTCGACTCCGTCCTCGCAGCCCCTGGCGAGGAGGAAGACGAAGACGAGGAGGAGGCGGAGGAATGAGGAGGAGGAGGAGGACGAGGACGAGGAGGAGAAGGATGAGGAGGAGGAATGAGGAGGAGGAGGAGGAAGAATGAGGAGGAGAAGGAGGAGGAGGAGGAGGAGCGGCAGCAGCAGCTTCAGCCACGTACTGCCGCACGCAGATGGGCTCCGAGTCTGTCCGCAGAGTCCTGACCGATTGATGGGCCCCTGCGCCAAAGTCGGCACTGTCTTTGCATCATCCTTGTGAACGCTGCGAGCCCCGTGCTCGCAGCCCGACCAACATCGAAAAGCGGCAGCATAAGCAGCTCAGAACCCGGGTGGCTCGGGCCCACGATCGACCCCTGCCCAAGAGCTGCTGCGAGCCTGGACTGCAGCCGTGGCGGTGTGGTCAAGAAGAGGAGGAGGGGGGGTGGAGGGGGGCAGAAGGGAGGAGGAGCAGCAGCCACAGCAGGAGCAGCTACGGTCGAGAACTTCGGGATGGCGTGTCGCCGCGGCGGCCCCGGCGACACGCCATGCCTCGCAAGTGGATAGCGTGTCGCTCCGCTCCGCGGTGCAGGAGGTCGGTAAACGCTCGGGACTGCGACGCCTGGGCATAGCGAGGTGGATAGCGTGTCGCGCCGAAGCTTGGTGGGTCAGAACCGGAGGAGCGACACGCTGTCCAAAAGTTCCCGACCGTAGGAGAAGGAGAAGGAGAAGGAGGAGGAGGAGGAGGAGGAGGAGGAGAAAGAGGAGGAGGAGGAGGAGGAGGAGGGAAAGGAAGGAGAAGGCGTTGTTAGCCGGAGGCTTTGCACTGGGCGTGCTCTGGAAGGAGAAGGGAAGGAGGAGGGAGGGGGCGAGAGAGCGGGCGACGGGACCACCAGGACGGCGCGTTCCTTGTCCGTGGACGTGCCCTGGTTCTGCATCTCCTGCGGACACCGGCGGGGGCTCCAGAGGGCCCCGCCTGGGCTCACCCCTCCTCCCGCTCATCACCCTCCGCCTCCGCCTCCTCCTCCTCCTTCTCCTCCTCCTCCTTCTTCTCCTCATCATCATACATGGGTTTCCAGGGCAACTTCTAGCGCTTGCGATACGTATGTACATGTGTTCTAGGAGGCTTTCTAAGGAATCGAGTTCCTCGAACTCCGTTTGGGCTTGCCGTGGGGTGCTTTCAGGATGCTCGATAGCCATGTTCGGGTTGCAGTGTGTCATGCTCTCGTCGCTTGACAATGTCTGGGAGCACACGTCGCACATTCCTCGTAGCATTGACGTCTACACTGATAACATCATGGTAGATGTTTGCGACACGGTCCGGAACATATGTAGCACGGCACGTACTGTATTACAACTTGCGGTACGAGCCTTCCATGACATTGTCCTCCCATCTGCCAGACACGAAAGGAAAGTCACCTGTAGTTGGGCGTATCTGGGCAAAGGTATCTGTCAGGTGCTTGGGTCCATGGGGGCTCCACTTCCAGACTGCCCTGGAACTCCTCGGTTTCGAGGTAGCGTCAGGCAAGCCGCCAAAGTTCGGGGGATTGAGGCCTCGAGCTGCTAGTCGGCGAAACGCATTCCGAGGCTGCATCAGGTTCGGAAAGCTGGCCCAACGGTTTCAAAGTCCGTGCGGCGGGCCCTCCCATCGAATAATGGAGTACGGGCTCGGCGCGCACGGTGCGCCTCCGCCGCTGGTACGAAAACTGCGCAGCGTTCTTCGCAATGTCTGGTATACGCCAGGGTCCACCATGTCGGGATGGATCACGTCACTGCTTCAGGGAGGGAGCTTTCACGACCCTCAAGTTGAAGCTTGGACAGCGCCACTGGTCCAGTGGGCGTTGCCTTGTCGTGACGTTATGGTCCATGGGGGGCACTCTGCAGCGAGCGTGGCAGCGTCAAGTGCAGCGTATTCATCGTTCTGAACAGCCTGAGAAAGGCGTGTCGGATACAACAGGGGCTGTGACCATGTCCCTGAGAGCTTGGAGTGATCTTCACGGTCTGCCTTCGCTTGAAGACCAACTTGGGTGATATCTTGGATCCTCAGTATGTTGCACCGTCGTCGGTCCAGGAGCTCACTCACGCTGCATCTGAGGGCTTTGGGAGAGTTGAGAGGCAAGGCCTGTTGCAGCTGATGACGTTCAAGCGGCTCCCAAGCAACCGAAGGGGTACTGGATCGAACCTACCGCCAGATTGCTTCGTAGAGCTGTGGAGCCCGAGGACCACTCTGACGAGGACCCCCAGGTAGAGCCGGAGGGGGAAGACACAATGTTAGGTAGGCGACTTCCGTGGACTCCTTCAGTCAAGGAAGCTGCAGTAATGCGAACGATTCTTGGCTGCGGTGTGTGGTCGCGGGCTCGTTGGAAGCACTGCCAATATGCTGTCGACGCCTCCTGCCCGTGCTGCAGGGACGCAGCGTGTGGCGCACATCACGTCGTGTGGGGATGTTTGGCCGAGGCCAAGTCCGCATGAGGCGCGAGGTGATGGAGTCCACTTGTATTCGAGGGTCTCCAGCGAAAGAAGAAGAGGCGTCCTGGTTGTGGGATCGAGGCCCGTGTCCTCGCTCGGGTGTTCCTCCGCGTCCGCGACGAGACGGCGCGGGCCGATGGCATGGTTTGATACGGGCTCGCTGACATGATCACTGGTACGGCGTACACAGCGGAGGCCAGTCCACAAGAAACCTTCCACAAGAAACCCAACCCTGAGACCCCAGGACGTCCTTTGATTTTTGGTGGAAACGTCGCGCTCTCAACAGCAAGACCATCGAAATCCAAGAAACCCAGGGCACCCTGGAGGCAAGCAGAGTGTGTCTTGGCATGGGTCGCCACTGTACTGACGGGGCTTGTAGGAAATGCCGGAGTTGGCCTGAAGCGGCCCGCGCTGATTATTGGTTTTGCCCGGGATTCTAGGCATCAGCTTTCGGTCGTGGTGTTCGGGGCCTTGCCAAGCCCCACGCAATCCTCGCCCAGGGCCGAGCCCTTCGCCCTGTTGCCCGTTTTCCAGACAGCTATGCTCCCACTCACTCGCTGTGCTCACCAACTTTTTAAGGGGGCTGCTGCCGGAATCGCCGCGGGCCCGCTCCGGACCACGGGGCCTCGGAGGCCGAACGTCGACCGCCGGGAAGCCGCCCGGGCCAAGCTGGACGATCTCCTTGGAGAAGCTCTCGACGTCAGCCATGTTACGGCTCGCCGACAAGGCTCCTCCCTGCACGCTCGGGGAACCAGGTGGGCCGACAGCGCGGCCGCCAGGAGTAGGGATCTGCGCAGCGCCAGCACGCAAGCGCTCACGGTTGGGAGGGTTGCTGGCAAGTCTCCCTAAAGGCCTCTGGACTTCTCGACCAAAGCCTGGCTCACTCACATGGAGACTTGGGCGTGTGGTCACCAAGCCGAGGGCCAGGCCCAAGCTCGGGACTCGGAAGACAGAGTTCGAGGTGGGAGCCGAGCCAACCCGCTTGCTCTGTGTCATAGTGCTTCTCAAGATTCAGGCCTGCTCTTCTGGAGGTTTCTACTGGAAGCAGGTAGTCCGCACTGCCAGAGCTAAGCAAATTCTTGAAATAAGGTGTGCCTTCGTGTTGGCTGCTAAAAAGGGGCTGGGTCCTTTCTCCGGGGTAGGCCAAGAGGGGGAGGGTTACAGCCTGAGTCCTCCCCTCCCCAGGAGCAGGGAAGAAGGCGAGGCTGGACCGTCTGTGACCCTTGGGGGTGGTGCCCAGGAGCTTGAGGGGGGAAGCCAGGGAGGTCCTTCACCCGAGCGACCTGGGGAAGGCGGCCTCGATACGGTGGCCCCCGACGGGGCCATCGATCGATCGGTTCGCCCGCGCGTGGCTACCTCCTCCCAAGTCGAGGAGCGGCCTGTTGACGGTGCAAGTTGTTTGACCCAAGCTGGTGCGCAGGTGGGCCACAGCTTCCGCGATCCTGCAGGGCCCCGCCTCGGTGCCTCTGGCTGGCAAGCGCCCCAGACTTTGAAGCTCGGAGGGGGAGGCCCTCTCTCGTCCGGGCCACGGCTCCGGCCAGCCCTCCGCCACCACGAGGTACTGTCCCGCCTCAGGCTGCGAGGGGGCACCGCTGCTGGGTGGCCGCAGGGAGGTCGCTCTGTGCGTGAGCTGCGGTATTACAGCACCGGGGCTTGCGAGCCATCTGCTGCTTGACTGCCCTCTCCCCGAGCCTGCCCAGGTGTCTGCGCAGGGGCTCAAAGGAGTAGAAGACTGTGCTCAGCGCCGGCCGCCACCCCGCCGACGAGGGGGGGTCGGAGCATGGCCGAGCCAGTGCTGCTGCCAGGCCCCAGATGGTGACCGATCCAGACATTGTGTGGCTGAGATTGGGTGCCAGGGGCAGTGCTCACACCTCTCATCCATGCTACTTTGAAGGGTGGTTCTCAGTGCCTCGCATTTCTCTCAGGCCCTGGGCCGCCCCCAAAACCTCGTTCGTTCGTTTGTTCTGTTCTTCGCTGGGCGTTTCGGTGAGGGGCGGGAGAGGCGCGCGGCATCTCCGCGCGCGCCCCGGCCCCCCCCCACCCATCCGCCCCGCATGTTCTGCTCAGCAACTTCTAGCAGGACCGCCGCCCCGCGATCCCGCGCTCTCGCGGGTGTGGGTTGCCTCGTGCACTTCGCGACGTCACCCTGCACTGTCTTGTCTCATCCACTGCATCGCCATCATTATCCTCCTCCTCATCATCCTCCGCCTCCTCTTCCTCCACTTCCTCCTTGGCATCCGCATCACCACCACCACCTTCATCACCGTCGCCAATATCACCATCAACTACAACATCGTCATCGTCGTCATCAGTAGCAACACCATCGTCGCTAACAACGTCGTCAACATCATGATTATGATGAACCGTATCGCCGTCACCTGGCATCGCCGTCATCGTCGTCACCATAGCCATCGCCAGCACCATCACCACAACCGCCAGCATCGCCACCGTTGCCATAATCGTCGTCGGATTCGGCATCATCATCATCATCATCATCATCATCATCATCATCATCATCATCATCATCAGAATCATCATCATCATCATCATCATCATCATCATCAGCATCATCATCATCAGCAGCAGCAGCAGCAACATCAGCATCATCCCCGTCATCATCATCATAAACAACTGACCAACAGCATCGTCATCATGATACGGACCAAGTTCATCAGCAGCACCATCACCATCATCATCATCAGCAGCAGCATCATCATCATCATCATAATCATCATCATCGTCATCATCATAATCAGCATCATCGCCACCACCACCATCATCATCATCATCGTCATCATCATCAGCAGCATTTTAGTCATCAGCAGCATCATCATCGGCCTCATCGTCATCATCATCAGCACCAGCATCATCATCAGCATCAGCATAATCATCAGTATCATAAGCATCATCAGTACCATAAACATCGTCATCATCATCATCAGCAGCAGCATCATCGTCATCATCAGCAGCATCATCATCAACAAGATCACCATCGTCGTCGTTAGCCTGGTCATAATCATCATTACCTTCCCCATCATCATCATCAGCAGCAGCAATAACATCATCAACAGTTCCTCATCATAGCCATCACTATCATCGTCATCATCAGTATCATCAGCATCATCATCATCGCCCTCGTCATCATCAGCAGCATCAGCAGCAGCATCATCACGTTCATCAAGGGGGAGGTGGTAGAGGAGGTGATGGAGGTAGCTACCAGGCAGGGGGGAAGGAAGTAAAGCGAGTTGGGTGAAGGGCAGCATCAGCCTTTCCACGAGTAAGGGCAGTATGCTGGCGGTGCCCTTGCTCCTTATCCTGCTCCTCCCCCCTTCCTCCTACCGTTCGTATCGTTCCTCCTCATATTATTACACTTCCTCCCCATCCTCCTCCTCCTCCTCCTCCTCCTCCTCCTCCTCCTCCTCATCCTTCTCATCCTTCTCCTCCGCCTCCTCCTCATCCTCCTCCTTACCGCCACCATCATCCTCCTTCAGACAGGCCTCCGTCTCACATCCCCCTCTTCTCCCTTCTCCTACTCACCCTCTTCCTCCTCCTCCTCGTCATCATCACCATTAACATCCTGCTCATCCGTATCCTCATCCTCATCCTCATCATGTCAGCATCGGCATCAGCATCAGCAGCAGCAGCATCATCATCTTCATCATCATCTTCATCATCATCAGCATCATCATCCACCTCATTCCCCTCCTCCTCCTCCTGCTCATCCTCCTCCTCCTCCTCCCCTCATCCTCCTGCTCCTCCTCCTCCTCCCCGAATCCTCTGCCTCCAACTCCTCCACATCACCCTTGGCACGTGCGCTCGGATCACTGGGGCTCTGCTCTTGACAGCTGTTCGGCCTCCAGCACGCCTCGGACACATCTGCATCATCTTCCGTCTCATCATTATCCTCGTACCCCATCCCCCTTCTCCTCCTCCGCCTCCGTCACGTTTTTTCTTCCTTCCACCACCATCCTCGCCATCATCCTCCTCTGTTCTTAAACATGCCACGAGGCGCACAAGTCGCCTGAGGCGTCAGCCCTCCTCCCCCTCCTCCTCCTCCTACCCTGTCTCCTCCCTCCCATCCCTCTCCGTCTCCCCCTCCCTCCTACTCCCGTTCCTTACATTGCTCCCCACACCCACCTCCCAAGAGGGATCCACCTCCCACACCGACGCTGACGCCAGAACCAAACCAAGCCTCATTTTCCCTCCCCTCCTCCTCCTCCTCCTCCTCCTCCTCCTCCCATCCTCCCCTTCCTTCTCCACGCCTCTCCCTCTTCTCCTCCTCCTCCTCCTCCGCCTCCTTCCTCCTCCTCCTCCTCCTCCTCCTCCTCCTCCTCCTACTCCTACTCCTCCTCGCCTCTCCCCCTCCGCCTCCTCCGCCCTCCTCCGCCTCCTCCTCACATCCCTCACCTCCTTCCTCTCCTCCTCCTCCTCCTCCTCCTCCTCCTCCTCCTCCTCCTCCTCCTCCTCCTCCTCCTCCTCATCATCCTCCTCATCCTTCTCCTCCTCCTCCCTCACCTCCTCCCTCACCTCCTCCCTCACCTCCTCCGTCCCTCATCGTTCCCCGTTTCCCACACGCACCGCCCATGCGCCCTGCGTCCTCGAGAGCGGTCCAGGCCTCGTCGACGCCCTTGCGCCTCATGAGATCCTGGAGCAGACAGGAACAGACACACGCACGGAGACTGGCGAGGCGGCGCCCCAGGTCACAGCGGCCGCCGCCGCGACCATGACCGCGACCACGATCGCGACGACGACGACGACCAAAGACCAATGACCTCTCGCCGCCTCTCATCGAAAAGGTGGAATATTCATAAACAAATATTTTAGCAGGTCCGCGCGGACAATCGAATGCTCATGTCCATGCCTAACTTTAACCTCTGACTCATAACATCTTGCCTGGAGGGGCGCGCGTGTGCCGTCCGCACGCTGAGGGTTGTGGTCGTCCAAACGCTGGTAGCAGCCAAGAGAATGCCGCGCCCACCGCTCAGTATCCAGCGCATCGTCGAGCGCCTCGCAAAGCGCGATGGGTTTGGCAACTCCCCACCGCCAACGTGCGCGTCTTAAAGTCGCCGGGGCAAACGCCTCGTCACCGCACACAGGTCGACGGAACGGAACGTACAAGCACTGCCAAACACAGCGATGATAACACAATCGAAAGACACGCGAGCTCAGCAGGTACGGCAGGTAAACGATTCCCTCGTCTTGCCCCAGAATCTCGACCCACCAATTCAGCACCGCGCCCAGCACGCTTCTTTATCGCAGCTTCACCGAGTTGCGCGCGGAAACATCTTCGATTCCAGACCTGGAGCGGGACGACGACGGCACGTTTACCACCAGCGCGCCGTGGCGTGGCACACTGAGCTCATACTGGCAGCTGGCTCACAGACAGAACGCCTCTTCATGCACAGATGTGACGCATTGCAGCCCAGTGACAGCATGGCAAACGAAATCGCGGCCACGGGCAATGCAGTCAGAAGAAGCAGATCAACACATTCAACAACATAGGCAACCAAATGCAACTCACATAGTTCCGGGTGTAAGGAACGGCATGCAAACAACCGATCCGCAGCGCGGACTAGCAGACGGAAGCACTGACTCGTCGAAAAGACAAGCTCGCTCCCAAAGATGGCCTCACTGAGTGAAAATCCAAACAGGCAAATTGCAGAGATGGATAGCAGCTTCGCCTGACGACGCGTACACAGGGTCAGTGAACAACTGCCAGGAGTAGAATTCGATTGAAAAAAAGAAACTAAGTTGGATATACAAATATTGAAGAGCAAACGGTACGCAGGAAGAGGGATACGGATTAAAGCACCTCAATGTTCAGAAGGTGAAGGGAACTGGTGGAAGATGTGGAGCGCAGCGGGAATGTGGTGAAGACCCAGTAAGATGGAGTAAGACAAGGGAGGTCGAAGGGGAGGAGGGAAAGAAGACGACCGAAGGAACAGAGGAGAGCGGGAGGAGGGGGGCATTACTTGAACTTCCCAGAGCGCTGATGGGAGGTGTGTGTGTGTGATATGCGTTGGCTCGTTTTGAACAGGAGCGGTAGGAGCTTGACTCATGCTTGATTTTGGTTCTCGGTGCATCAACAGTTGACCAGCATGCGCCGTCTGATTGGAAAACAGCATGCGCCCTTCATCCTACATCTCCTCGTCCTCCCATCCTCGTCCTCCCTTCCTCATCCTCCTCCTCCTCCTCCTCCTCCTCCTCCTCCTCCTCCTCCGCCTCCTCCTCCTCCTCCTCCTCCCTACTCCTCCTCCTCCTTGAGGCAGAACGGACCTGGAGACTGGAAGCGGCGAGACGAGGACGCGCACGCGGGGCGGGGCTAGCTGGCTCCCGCCCATCGCCAGGGCACCGAAAATCCACGCCCACCGCCGTCCCTTTCGATCGCCACGCGTGCCACACAGCCAGCACGGCTCTCGTGGCAGGCATTGGAGCGCAGGCCGATGCTCTCCTCCTCCCTCCCCCTCCTCCTCTCCTCCTCCTCCTCCTCCTCATCATCATCATCATCATCATCATCATCATCATCATCATCATCATCATCATCGTCATCATTATCATCATCATCATCATCATCATCATCATCATCATCATCATCATCATCATCATCATCATCATCATCATCATCATCATCATCATCATCATCATCCTCGTAGTCCTCCTCTTCCTTATCTCCTCCTCCCCACCCTCATCCCTCATCCACCTCATCCGTCTCCACCACTCCACCCTCGCCCTCCCCTGCCTCCGACTCCTTCACACCCTCCCTCATTCCCTCTCTCTTCCTCATGTCCCCTTGTTGCACGTGCCTGCCTCTCTCTCTCTTTCTGTCTCTCTCTCTCTATCTATATATATACACACACCTATGCATCCCCAAACATCTGACGCTTCGATTTTGTTTTGTCGATGCATGAGCACCCAGGCATATCAGTCCCTTTCCCACGGCCAGCTGTTCATCCCGAGTCGTCTTTGGAAGGTCCACCAGCCCGACAAAAACGTAGAGACTCCAGTGACGACAAACCAGCCACCTCGGTTTTTCAAGGCGCCCCTCACCCCGCTCCCATTCCCCTCTCCTCTCTCATACGCAGTATGATACGCCTCGTCTCTCCCACCCTCCTCCCCTCCCTTGCCTATCCCCACTCCTCGTTGGCGGAAGAAGCAGCAAGAAGCAACGTGGAAAGAGGAAGGGGGAAAGAAGGAAAGAGGAAGGAGGACTGACTTAATTGGGCGCGGGTTGAAGTCTAGCCTCAGCTTCCCCGCAGCAAGGCTGCCCACAAGGCCAAAGAAGAAAGCAAGCTGGTGAAGTCTCCTGTCAGACCAGGAGGAGGAAAAGGAGAAGGCCTGAGAAGGAGGAGGAGGGAGGAAGGAGGAAGGAAGGGAGCAAGGGGGAAGGAGAGAAGAGGAAGGAGGGAGGGGAAGGAAAAAAAAAAAAAAGAGAAAAAATCAAGGATTGACAGAACGCCGTTTAGCGAAAGCTTCCAGGGGCGATCCACATGCGCACGGCGCCGCATTCCGAGTGGACACGGGCGGGATAGTTAATCGACGTCCAAAGGCAAGCAAGTGTATCTGTCAAAGCACACGTCCCTTAACGAAACCGATGGGGGACTTCACCAATACACTCGAATGTCGATGTCGAGTGAACCGATGCAGATCTCCTCGGTCGACTCGTCCAGGGCGGGGATTCTTACCAACCTCCGAGAGGAAGCGGGGGGAAAGAGGGAAGAGGGAAGAGGAAGGAGAGGGAAGAAGGGAAAGGAGGGAGGAGGAAGGAAGCAGGAACATGGGGCTCTCGAGGGGACTCAGACCTTTCACGACAAACTGGCTAAACGCATTGCGCTGCAAAATATGAAGGAGGTTGTGTACGACCTCGACTCGTGTGGGATCCCTGTTTACATCTCTGGGGACAGCCTGCTGGTGGTCTCTTGGCTTCAGGGTGTTTGGGCAGGCACGTTGGAGCCTCGGGCCGACTTCGGCACTGAAGAGGCCACGGAGCCAAAGCCCGCAACTGGCAACTGGGCCACGGAGAGCCGGAGCCGCAGCCCCGGAGCCGGAGCCGGCAAGAAGAAAGGAGGAAGGAGGGAGCTGGGAGGAGGGAGGAGGGAGGAAAGAGGAGGGAGGCAGGAGGCAGGAAGGGGGAAGGAAGGAGGAAGGAGGAGGGAGGGGCTGAGGAGGAGGGAGGAGGGAGGAGGGAGGAGGACGGAAGGAGGAACGGGGGAAGGAGGAAGGAAGAAGGAAGAAGGGGGGAGGGAAGGGGAAAGGGGGCAGGAGGGAGGAGGGAGGACGCTGCGGAGCTGAGGAGGGAAGACGCCTCCCCCGCGCCCGCGCCCGCGCCTCCAGCCCGTTGGCTGGGCCGCGCGCCTGGGCGCCGCGCCGCGGACGCCGCCGCCGCCGCCGCCGCCGCTGGCCGTCGTCCTCCCAGCACAGGAGGAGGAGGAGGAGGAGGAGGAGGAGGAGGAGGAGGAGGAGGGGAGGAGGAGGAGGAGGGGGGGGGAGGGGGAGGGGGAGGAGGAGGGGGAGGGGGAGGGGGAGGAGGAGGAGGGAGGAGGAGGAGGAGGAGGAGGAGGAGGAGGAGAAGGAGGAGGAGGAGGAGGAGGAGGGCCGTGACGACCCCGGCGCCGGTTTCTGACACTCGGCGGCGGCGACGACACTGGCAACCCAGACGTGCGATGTCCTGGTTGTGTCCATCCATACGGGGCCCCCGAAGTCCCGACCTGTTCCGCAGAGCCAGCTCGTCGTGCCGAGTCGTCCTGTTGACGGCCCTGGGGCCCGGCAGGGCTTCCGAGAGGCCGAGAATGACCAAACACCACCGGTCCTGATCTCATCAGGACGAGAGCACTTTTCTCCCATCCCCCCCGCACCCCCCCACGCAAAACAAGCGCACCCCCCTGCGACGAGCGATGGTGTCACTGACATGCACCAAGCAAGCCAGGAGCCACGCAGGGACCCACCTGCCAGAGGCGAGCCCGCACTCGAAACCTTGGCCTTGCACCCGTCCATTCCCCGTGCATGTGTCGGGTTCGCGGGTGTCTTGTTCTGCTCGATGATCCAGGACGTTCCTCGATGGTCCTCGTCGACGAAAGAAATCGCACGTCCGAGAGATGCCCAGGTGGCTGATCCAGACGCGAGCCCGTCTGGCAACGCCACCGCCGCTCCCCGGGCCGCCTCGCCGACGGCCGAGGGCCGCAGAGGGCGAAGGGCGGCGCTCCGCGGGCGCAGGCCGGTGGCCCGCCGCGGGCCGCCGGCGCGCGCGGCGGCTGGCCACGCATGCCTACAGAGCCCCCGAAGCGTGCCGGCACCTGGGGGCTCTGACTTGTGCTTGCACTTGGGAGCTGGGTCCGCTCGGCGGTCCAGCGGCTCCGCGGTCGCCGTCGCCGCCCCGTCGCCGCCCCGTCGCCGCCGGTGGTCTGGGCCTGTCTGGCGGCTCCGTGGTCGCCGTCGCCACCCCGTCGACACCTCGTCGCCACCCGTCGTCTGGGCCCGCATTGCTTCACCTTGCTTTGCATCGCTTTGCATTGCTGTACATTGCTTTGCCTCGCGTTGCATCGCTTTGCATTGCTTTGCATTGTATTGCATTGCGTTGCATTGCAATCGCACTGCGTTTTCATGGCATTGCGTTGCATTGCTTAGCAATTCCTGTGCATTGCTGTGCATTGCTGTGCATTGCCTTGCACTGCACTGCATTGCCTTGCACTGCATTGCATTGCTTTGCATTGCTTCACACTGTATTGCATTGCTTTGCATTGATTTGCACTGATGTGATTTGATGTTATTTGCCTTGCATTGCTTTGCATTGCTTTGCTTTGCATTGCATTGCATTGCGTGGCATTGCTCTGCCTTGATTTGCATTGCTTGGCTTTGCTTTGCTTCGCATTGCTTTGCACTGCTTTGCGCCACGTTGATTGTAACACATGGATTGCACCACCTAGCTTGCACCACATGGACTGCACCACCTAGATTGCACCGCATAGACTGCAAGAACCATTGCTTGTGGCCCACGCCTTCTTACATAAAAAACATACTTCCAAAACAGTGCATGCACTTAGGGTTTCTCACTTGTCTTCTAAAGAACTGGGCCTGCGGGCCGCTCTGGCCGACATGTGGCCGCCGTCGCCGCCTTGTCGCCACCCGCCGCCGGCCGTCGCCTAGGCCTGCAGGCCGCTCTGGCCGCCATGTGGCCGACGTCGCCGCCTCGTCGCCGCCCATCGCCTGGGCCTGCGGGCCGCTCTGGCCGCCATGTGGCCGCCACCCGCCGCCTCGTCGCCGCCCGCCGCTTCAACGCCGCCCGCTTTGCACCGTTTTGCATGACTCTGCATTGCTTTGCATTGCGTTGCGTGGCTTTGCATCGCTTTGCATTGCGTTGCATGGCTTTGCACCGCGTTGCCTTGCGTTGCACTGCATCGCACTCCATTGTTTTGCATTGCGCTGCATGGATTTACATTGATTTGCGTTGCCTTGCAGTGAGTTGCATTGGTTTGCAATTGCGTTACTTTGCCTTGCATTTGTTTGCTCTGCACTGCATTACATTGCTTTGCATTGTAATGAGTATTTCCGCATCGCTTTGCTTTGCTTTGCACTGGCTTGCATTTCTTTGCATTGATCTGCAATGCTGTGCATTGCTTTGCTCCACACAGATTGCACCACATGGAATGCACCAGCTAGCATGCACCACATTGTTTGCCCCACCTATATTGCACCGCATATGTTGCAAGACACCATTATTTGGGGTCCACGCTGGCTACCATCTGTAAATATGCATATACGTGGATCTGTAGATCTCTATATAAATATGTGTGCGTATGTACATATGCGTGTGCTTGTCCCCCAACAGTGCTTGCACCTGGGGGTTCTTAAAATTGCTGGCAGGATTCGCCACGCTCCGGCCCGCTGCCGCCCGTTGCCGCCCGTCGCCGCCTGCTGCCGCCTGCGTGGGTGCGTCGAGGATTGGCCCCGCTCCCGCCCGCTGCCGCCCGCTGCCCCCCGTTGCCCCTCGGGTGCTCGCCCCCGTGGCCGGCCCGTGGCCGCCCGTGGCCGCCCGGGGTGGCCGCGTCGAGGACTCGGCGTGTGCAGGCCCGGCGCCCTCCACTGCCGCCCGCGGCCGCTCGGAGGGCCGCGCCGAAGGCGCGCCACCTTCTGGCCCGCTGCCGGCCGTTGCCACCCGGTCCCCCCGGCAGCCGCTCGGGTGGCAGCGTCGAAGATTCGGCACGCTCTGGCCCACTGCCGCTCGGGTGGCAGCATCGAGGGGTCGCCACGTTCTGGCCCACTGCCGCCCGTTACCGCCCGTTGCCCCCCCGTTGCCGCTTGGGTGCCAGCTTCGAGGATTCGCCGCATTATGGCCCGTTGCCGCCCGTCGTCGCTTGGGTGGCACCGTCACGGAGTCGCCACGCTTGCCGGCCCGCTACCGCTCGTTACAGCCCACCATATATATATATATGTATACATATATATATATATACATACATACATACATATATATATATATATATCCCACCACATGGCTTGCGCCACGTAGCTCCCCCCACGTAGCTTCCACCACATAACCTCCACCACATAGCTTCCACGACATAGCTTCCACACAGCAGGAAAGCGAAAACTCACTGTTTGGGGTCCACGCTTGCAAACATTGTTTTGTGCATTATACATTATGTTTAAAACTACAGCATACGGATATGTGTATATATATATATATATCGAAAGAGACTACATGTGTACATTATATAATATGATACACCTGTCTGGGGGGAAATCAGGAATTGGGGGCGGGAAATCGCCTGCGAGGTGGTTATATGATATATTCCTCCCCTCAGCTCCACAGCAGGGAGCCTACGAAGGCGCCGACGGCAGCCCCGCCCACGGGAGACGGGGCCCTCGTTGAGAGCGAGGCCACGAGCGAGGAGGGCGCCAGGCAGCACAGCCGCGCGCCAAGCTGCTTCCCGTACCTTTCTGGAGGGCGCTCCCGAGGAGCGTTTGGTGCGAGGCCGGCGGGATCTGTCCACAACCACCGCCTGGGGCATCGACCTTCGGGGCCTTCGGCAAGCGGCGGATGTGGACACACCTAGGAGAGCCAGGAATCGAATCGACAAGTCGGATCGGCTATCGACATGAATCGGATCGGCGGAAATCGGCAGCCGAGTCGGGAGAAGTCGAATCGGCAGAAATCGGCAGGCTATTAGGCCTCCATTGGGGAATCGACATCCAAATTGGAGTCCGAAGTCGAATCGAATCGGAATCAGAGGCCATCGAAATCGAATCGAATTGAATCGGAGGAATCGAGATGAGCCCTGTACACCTGCCTTCCACAGGGGCCGAGCGTATCTGTATCCACCGCCTACCGAGGCATCCGAAGACCGACCCCTCGGACGGTGGCCATGGATAGGTCCCCGCCCCAGAGCTGGGGCAGAAGGAATTCGGCCGCCGCTCTGCGCTGGAACCTCGTCTCCTAGACCTGGGACAGGGGGTACGGCGAGATCGTGTCGCGACGACCCCCGCGTTCGCTTCTGACACCGCCTGGACAGTTCGAGCGTGAACGATATACGGGGCCCAAACATATGCACCACCACCACCTCCCTCACCCCCATCCCTCTCCCAGGAGAGAGGAGAGGAGGAGGAGGAGGAGGAGGAGGAGGAGGAGGAGGAGGAGGAGGGCAGAGGAGTGAGGAGGAATCGACGTGGTGGTGTTGCAAATATTCTTGAGACCCGCACGATGCAGGCGGCGACCGCCAATCGCACCTCCTCCTCCTTCTCGCCCCATCCTGCTCCCTAGCGTCCTCCGCCACCTGCTCCTCAACATCCTCGTCGTCCTCGTCGTCGCCGTCTTCAGGGTCGGCGGCACCGCCGTAAGGCCTGCGCAATATGCTTGAGACCCGCACGATGTAGGCGGCTCTTCGATCGCCAGATCGCTGCACACCAGCCGCTTCCGGGCCACTGGCCGAAGGAGGCCCTGACCGCCCGCGCCCTTGGTCGCCGCCGCGCCAGCACGACACGAACCCCCCGGAGAGTCGGACGAAGGCCGAGGACCGAAGCTCGAGGATCAACCCTAACCTCATGCTGCTCCCGTGATACTTGAGGACCACATCCCCAAAACGATTTCGAGCACCCAGACTAGTATACACACAGTGTCGAACAAGTATCGCCTCCCAGGGCCCGACACGCGAAAACCATCCGGTTTCGGTACTTCCTTGGTGCTCGAAATTCTTTCTGGTGATCAAGGTTAAAGTAGGTTGGAACATCACCCCTTCTCTGCGAGAAAGCCAACAAGATTTCGGCGGCAACTCATGGGAGCCTCCCACGCCATCTTTGTCGGCGCTCCCGAATCGACGCGAATCGACGCTAATCGACCCTAAAACGGCGCGAATCGACGC